TAACACACATCTATTTTTTTCCTCACCAATAATATTGATCCCTTGTAAAGAGAAATAAAGATTTGGAAGGCCAGATTCTCCCTCCACTAAACAAGGGAGAGTTACAGCCTTAGTAACAGTTACAGGTTTGCTAATTTTGACTCTCCAAGGATTATGTAATAATGTGATGACATGTTAAATATTTCCTGTGTACTGTGTTGATTGCTTATGTAATAGTCCTTATGGTAAGATATCTTCACAAGGGAAGTCCACTGAAGTTCACTTTGCATGGTACTAACTTAGGCATTTGCAATCTTCAGTATTTGGTATCGACAAATAGATCTTAAGTTTCTTAATATTTTTTTTTGGTAACAGAAAAAAAGCGTTTCCCATCACAGAAAAAAAGCGTTTCCCATCCCCCCCCCTTTTTTTTTTAATGCTACAAATAAAAATCAGCCATGACAAGGTAATTGCAAGGGCTGTCCTTGGCCCCTGATGGACATATTTCCATATCAGAACTGTAGCTTTTCAGCTTTTTAGACTGTGGAACTTGCCATCTTGGTAACTTATTTTTACCAGTCATTACTGATGCAAAATATATAATTAAATTCCAACTCTCCCACAGACCTTTTGCTTATTCAGTCTGCTTTCCTGGCTGATGCTTGTGTTGGTCTTAAATGGAACTACTTGAAGTTAATGCTGGACGTAAATTGTAGTGTAATACTTGAGCTTGTAATATATAAAAGGAGAAAAACTTGTAGAGCAATGGACTTTTCACCTGGTTTTTGACTTCTGCAGAAGTTCTGGTAGAATTACTGCAGAGTCATACTGAACCAATTTATACCAGCAACTTAGTTCTTACCTACAAGTATTTTAAGAGCATTCATATCACATTCTGAAAAAAAAAAGAAAAAACAAGTTAAGGTGTATTTTTAAAAAAGCATATTAGCTTTGGAATCTTGCATGATAATCTGGTCTTACCTTGGTTTTTTCATTACTTATGTCGTTTTTTTAACAGGAATATGCAAGTAGTATTATGAGACTCCACCCAGACCCTGTAAATACATGTTTAACTACCATCCCCACAAGGTGAAGGGCAAGGACATATTTAGGTTACTGGGCTGCCAGAGAGCTTTAAGCTTAGTTCCTCTTTGCATAGTTGTTTGTGAGGTGTCCGTAATGGATCCCATGCATCTGAAATGACTATGAATATTGAAAGGATGCAAGAATGTTCTGTTGAGTCTCCGAGTATCTCAATTTCCTCTACATTAATTTTCTGTGAAATTTATAGGTGCAGTTTTAACTGTTCCTTTCCACAGACTTGGCACATGTGTAATATGCAATGTAGATATGCACTTAACATAGTACATATTTTGTACACAATTGCAAATTTGCACCTTTTAATCTTAGTGTCTCTAGGGTCACCTTTTCCATTGCTGTGCAAGAAATATGTACAAACAACTCTCAAATGGTTCTGATAGTTTGTAATAACTTTGCATTCAACAAGCTCATATTTTTAGATAAGGTATGTGTGTAAATACAAGATGTATTTTATAAAAATTTTGAATTAAACTTGTTTACAGAATGTATGAAGCTCATTTATATTTACTGAATTAATACTGAATAATTAATATTGATTAATTAAGACACATCTCTAATACCATACATGTCACCGATAAATATTGATGTATATAGCATCAATAGCTTTGAGGCTATGAAGAAGTTTTGTGATAATATATATACTGTTTCAGTCTGTCAAAACTGGAAACTTAGAGCATATTCATCTAGCAAAAAAGTTGCCTTTCTGAGATGCAGTACCTCCTTCTGAGGTGGAGACATGGGTATCACACCTTAGACGTGCTTTTTGGATGATCTCTACAGAGCAGCTAAACATGTACATATCTTTTATCGTCTTCTACCCATCAGACATACTCTGCTGTGTATCAGAAAAGTTATGCTTACTTGAAAAGTGTGTGAAACCAGTTGTTATGATGAGGAGACAACGTACAGCTTGAGATCTGCTGTGAATGTTATCGCTACCCCTAGTGCTTTACTTGAAGTAGTGAAGCAGGCTTAAAAGCTGCTTATTTTACTCCCAGGACAATTTTGATTAGCCTGGGTGGCACACATACTTAGTGGGTTTGGTTTGGTTTTGTTCTTTTAGTTTTTCTTTACACATTGCATTTCTTAAATCATTTTCCTGCTACAGCAGCCTCTGCTAGTTTGGGTCCTTCTAATAAAAATATTCTGTAGGAAACTTAATTATATTTTAAAAATATATTTACGAACATCAGTAGCCTAAAAACATTTTGAAATATTTTAGTATAACGTCACTTAAATAAAATAATGCCTATGGGAGATAAAAAGTAATGCATCCAGGTAGGCTGAGCTATACGAACTGCACTGACATTCTAGTGGGTGAAAAGGGAAAATCTTAACAAAATACAAAAGGTTTTATTAAACTTAGGTCATTTTTGAAGCACTGCTTCAAAGTAAAATGCTGTCACAGGTGCAATGACCCGGGGCCAGGGACACCCTTCCCGCGGGCCGAGCGCATTCCAGGAGGGAGCCGTGGCATTGTGGCTCCGTCCCTCGGTACCAGCGCTGGAGGCCGCTCACACCGGGGCTCGCTCGCATCGCTCGCGTGCAAAACCAGTCTCGGAGCCGGGGTACGAAACGCAAATCCCCGCTCCGGTTTCCCCGAGACGGGGGGCGGCCGACGCGCTCGCCCGCCTACGACCCGGCTTTTGTCCGAGTCGGTAACGACACCGCAGCGGCGAGGGCGAGGGACAGCCGAGGGCCGGGGACAGCCGAGGGCCAGCTGGCCGCGCTCCAGCCCCGCCGGGCACGGAGCCCGAGCGGAGCAGGTCCCCGGCCCCTCACGGGACCGACGGCCGCCCCCGCCCCGAGGCGGGACCCACTCCCTGCGCGCTCCCGCCTCCTTCCTCCTGCGCGGGGGCGCGCGCGGGCGCGCGCGCAAAGCGTAGCCCCGCCCCCCCGCGCCCGCGCGCCGGCCCCGCCCGCGCCGAGCGGCTCCCTTCCCCCCCCCCGGGCCGGGCGGTCGGTTCCGCATCCGGCGCGGTTGTGTCACTTCCCGCTCACGCGGGCGCTCTCTCTCCCTTTCCCCCTCTCCCGGACCCGGATGGTGACTGGCGGCGGCCGCGGCGGCTCCAGGGACTGTCACTGAGCGGCTCCCCCCGGGCCTCTTGTCCTGAGGGCGGCGGCGGCGGCGGCCGCGAAGATGGCTGCGGCGGCCTCCTGCTCCTCGGCCGCGACGGCGGCGGCGGGGCCCGGGCCCGGCCCGGGCTCCTGCGAGTGGCTGCTGCTGCGGGACGGCTGCCTGCGCTGCGACGCCGACGGGCTCTGCAGCCTCTGCTACCACCCGGCGCTCAACGCCATCCTGGCCGTGACCGCGCGCGGCGCCATCAAAGTCATCGATGGCACCTCGGGGGCCACGCTGCAGGCGTCCGCGCTCGGCGGTGAGCGGGCAAGCGGGAACAGGTGTCGCGGCGGGCGGGGGCAACCTCGGGAGGGAGAGGCCTGGCTCGGCTCGTTGCTACTGGGGAGTCCCCCTGGCTCTTTGTCGCCTCTCCTTGTTTTTCTGGCCTGAACGGCCTCCCCTACCCGGGGAGGTGGTGGAGTCTCTGTCCCCGGGGGCGTTTAAGGAAAGGCTGGACATGGCACTCGGTGCCATGCTCTGGTTGAGATTGTGATGTTCGGCCATAGGCTGGGACTCGGGGATCTCAGAGGTCTTTTCCAACCTAATTGATTCTGTGTTCTACTCTTTGGGGCAGAGATACTCGTGTAGACAGCGCCGAGGTGTTTTATTTCTGCAAAATGTGTTGGCGTGGTTACTAAAAGATTAAATGGGGATGAAAGGCTGTGGTGTACAGGGCTATGTGTTTTTATTTTAACTCTTCAGGTGTTCTTTTGGGTCACGTGACGTTGAACCTCCCAAAGATTGGAAGCAGCATGTTAGACAGGACAGGCATAGTTCTAGTTCTAATTGATATGTGATACTGTAGTAATTTATTTATTAAGCCTTACTCTGGGTTTGTTAAGAAGGTGTACTTCTCAAAAGTGTCATTTGTCTTACAGCTTAGAATTATTTAAGATCAGAATCTTTCATAGTTATTTGATGATACATTTTTATATAAACTTGGATAGTTCTTCAGGCTGCTGACTATCCTGACTGTCTCTGGTACTAGTAATAGTATACCTGCTATTGTGTTCAGGAGGCATGATTATGTACTGAATTAGTGGAGGCTGACTGTAGCATCTCCGTAACTATGAAGCAACTTTCTGTGTTGACCATTAGTGTTCTTACACTGTTGATAAACTGTCTCTGTTGAAAAAGATCCACATGCAATTAACAGCTTTTGTTCCTTTTTCATTAATGGTTCTTAAACTGTGGTACTTGTCCAAATATTGATGGGGTACTGGTTAGGGTTATTTGGCATGTTGTGAGTCCAGCCCTTGGCATAGAAAGATACACTTCTTACCAGTTTTGTGTTTCCACATTCAGGTTCTTACATTTGTGTCTTGCTAATAGATGTACCTTTGAGTAGTGTTGATGAAAGGTTGTTTGCCGCCTTATTGTGGTACAGTAATGCCTAGAACTATAAGGGGATGCCACAGTCTATGCAATATGTATGCTTTCACCCCGAAATCCAGCAACTTTGTTGCAATGTCAGACTGAAGAGAACAGGACAAAAATCGGTGATTTCCTTTCATGAGTTTAAGTTGGTACGTTGTGTGTAAAGGTTAAGCATTTGGGGCAATTAAAAAGAAGGTTTTGTGGAATTATTAAGAAGGTGCCGGCTGCTTTTATTGTC